TCAACAAATATTTATGACTGAGTGCCTATGACTGTACCAAGAACGGTGCTAGACCACTAGAAAGAAAATGGTGAACAAGACCAAAATGCTTCCTGTGTTCACCAAGTCAGCAGTCCAGAGTGAAACAGATGGTGAGCAAGAAAACAAGTCATAATCACAAGCTGTGACAAACACTGTGAAGGCAATAAACAGTGCTGTACAAGAGGGCCTGAGTCAGGGTGGTCAGAGAAAGCTTCTCTGAGGAGGGGAACTTAAGCTACATCCCAGAAGGTGGGAAGACAGGTAAAGAACGTATGAGACAGAACAGTGAGTCAAAGAAGCAAGACACTAAAGAGAACATGCTGTTATAAGTTACATTCACATGAAGCTCAAAAACAGACAAAATTAACTTATGGCAAAAAGAGGTCATAATAGCAGTTTGGTGAGAGGGCTAAACAGAGGCCTTCTGTGGTGCTAGGTATAATTCTGTATCATGATCTGGGTGCTCATTACATAGGTATACACATAAGCAAAAATGCATTAAATTGTATACTTAAGATCTGTGTGTTTATAATTTATATCTAAAAAGAAGACAGAAAATAAAGAATATATGGGTGGCAGTGTGCGTGTGTGTACGTGTGTGTGTGCTGTATAGGCGTTGGGTGGGGGGAGTACATGCCAAGATACCCTCCAAGCAGAGGACAAAATGTGCAAAGACCACAAAGCGGAGGAGGCTAATATAGCTATAGCTTAGTGAGCAAGGAAGAGTGGTATGAAATGAGATTGTAGACATGGGCGGACACCACCCGAAAGGACCACAGTGAGCTGGATTTTATTACAAGCCCAACATAAGTCCTGATTTATATTTTTAGAGGATCACTCTGTCTACAGTGTAGAAAATGGACTGGAGGAGGGCAAAAGTGCAAAACATTTACAAGACTGTTACAGTACACCAGGCAAGAGAAGATTATGGATTAGGCTAGCAGCAGTACAGTGACTCTGAATTACTACTAAAATATGCTATAAAGAGCCCATTTTTGAGAAGCACATTAG